AACTCCTGACCACTCGTCTTTTCGCGCTTGTTTAAAATGGGCCGATGCATTGGGCAAGTATAACTGCTTTCTTGAGTCATCAAAGTGACCCCAGGTCCGAGACACCTTTTTCCAAGGGAACAAGCAACCCCAGTACTCACCACCCTCTTCTTTCGGAAAGTCCCTTCCACAGGGGGTCCGTGCGCACCATCCGCTCAATCAGCTTCTTCCACAGCATTCCCTCGGAGATCACACGCTGCCATTCTTTGCAGACCAGCTCCGCCGCACACAGAGACCTGGCGTCCAGGTAGGAAAGGATGTTTTCTGCTATGTGATCTAAGCCTTGCTCTACAAAACAGAAAAGGCAATGAAGAGATGGGAAGGGAAATGGAAATGGACCGTCCTTCCGTAAGGATGAGAGGAACAAAGACACCCTGAACCAGATCCCACGCTGAGTAACACTGGTAGTTCTGCAGGGACACATGTGCACACAAAGACGCACTTCTTTTTGGTTCTGATTTTTTTAAGATAAAGCAATTCAGGGCAACAGTCACTATGTGTAAAAGCTGAACCTGGACCATTCTCTATCTGTCAGGTAATATGACAAAATACTTTGACATAACTGAAATTTTAAAATCACTATGGGATGATGACTCTCCAAACTTCACAGATAGGCACAGAGAGGGAAAGACTCCAGGTTGCACAGCCACACAGGAGTAGAGCCAAGACTGGAACTCGGAGCTCTTTCCCCAAAGCTTGTGGCCTTGCCCCTCTGATCTATTCTCTTGTAACCGCCATCCTATTAATCCGCAATTATGTGAGTCCCTTGGAGCTAAGGAGACAAAAAGTAAAATGCTGACAGCTTAAGAAGCTTAAAGTCGGCTGTACCTAGATGTATTTTTGTCAATAATTTCTTCATCTCCTTCTGGTGCAGGTAAAATTCTCAAAAGAGCCACATGTCTACAAATTCTAGAATCCTAAGAGGTTTATCCAATACAATGCAAGGGTCCTCTTAAAGACAACCAAGAAGAGTGGGTGTTCCACACTAGATCTGCATGATGGGCAAATGTAGTAAGTCGTTACCTCAAGTTGGTGGGTAACCATGTTAAATGGGTCAGAACCAAGGACAGCACCCATAAGTCTACCTATTTCCCTCCAGGCTGTCCTTGACCCAGTTGTAAATTATCACAAGGTACCCACAGTGAGACAATATAACCTCCTGGATGTACTACTGTCCAGTCCACATCTCTCTATTTAGTCTCCAGGGACATTTGGAGAAACTCTGCCCCATGACGACACTACCACCTCTACATCATTTTTCTGCACTACTTACTAGTCTGGTAAAACCTTATCAAAAAGGAGATGGGTGACTTTGGTATGGTTACCCTGTATTCCCTTGCTGATGCTTACCACATAAAGTTGGGATTGCATTTTTTTGTTTACAAGTTGGCACTAGCTGCTCTGTGTCCTTTTTTAACATATATAACAACTAGAGGCCCGGTGCACAAGATTCGTGCTTGGGGGTGTGGGGGGGGCCCTCATCCTGGCCTGCGCCCTTTCAAAGTCCAGGACCCTTTGGGGGATGTCCAACTGCTGGCTTAGGGGACATCAGTCAGACATCTTTCTCACAGTCTGGGACCCCTTACTCCTCACCACCTACCTGCAGCAGAGGTGGGAGAGGCTCCCGCCACCGCCACTGTGCTCGCCAGCCATGAGCCCGGCTTCTGGCTGAGCGGCACTCCCCCTGTGGGAGCGCACTGACCACCAGGGGGCAGCTCCTGCATTGAGCGTCTGCACCCTGGTGGTCAGTGTGCATCATAGCAACCAGTCATTCTGCCATTCAGTTGATTTGCATATTATGCTTTTACTAGAGGCCCAATGCACGAAAATGGTGCAAGGGGCTCGGCCCCTACCACTGTGGCTGCCTCAGTCCCTGCCACCATGGCTTCGTCCAGAAGGCTGTCAGGTCTAATTAGCATATTACGCTTTTATTATTATAGATGATATAGGATACCAAGTTCATTTCAGAAATGTTGTAAACATTTAAATCTCTAAATCCCACCTCTCAGAGACAAGAGTTTTTACATCCTTCTAGGCTTACACAAACCTACAGTCTTCTCGGTGCTAATTAACATTTGTTAATCCATTTAAGAATTCTGCCTGAGTGTAACAGCAAATTTATCTGTCCATATCCCCCAAATACACCTTCTCCAGTTCTTAAAACCAGGCAATCTGCACCTCAATCGCTTCAGGGCACAGCCATGCGGGATGACCAAACACAGCTGACAGCTGGGAAGGGCCACTCTGCCAGGAGCTTGCCGGTGGTTCACACTGCCCTGCCGTTCTGAGAGCCAAACTCCGGGCTCTGCCGCCCTCCTGACGAGCAATGACTTATCTCTGGTCGACTTGCTTACAGGAGCCGTGTGTTTCCTACTTATCTTCCTGGCTTTCTTGGTCTACAATTTTTCTATCCTTTCTGGTTTTAAATCCATTATTCTTAGTGGGGAAGAAAAAAGATAAGTGGAAATATGCTATTTTTACTACACACTCTATCCCAAGGAGACAGACAGTCCCTTCATTCTTCATACTGAGGCTCCAAATACTTAATTTTGTTTGTTCCAACTCTCCCAGATTACTTAACCATTTTGGACAATTTTACATTATTCAGGGTTTTTGCCTTCTTGATACTATTCTCAAAGGTTCTGGCTACTTTTTTTGTGACCGTGTCTCTTTTTTCCATCTTTCTGACCACATCTATAATAATAAAAGGGTGATATGCTAATTAGACCAAACGTCATTGTCATTCCAGACAAAGCCTGGGCCAGAGCAAAGCCTGGGTCCCAGGCGCCTGCCAGTGGTGCCAGAGGAAAGCAGCCCGGGTCCCGGGCGCCTGCCGGTGGTGGCCAGAGGAAAGCAGCCCGGGTCCCAGGTCCTGGGTGCCAGAGGGAAGCCGGTGCCGGCAGCCAGGAGAAGGAAGGCCTACTCTTGCACAAATTTTCATGCATCAGGCCTCTAGCTTGTTTATAATCGGGGACATAAATCCACGGGTAATCACATGGGCTTCTCCTTGTGCCTCTTCACTTCTGGGACTGACAAAGTATTCATCAGAATCTCTTAGCGGGCTTTAACCGTATTTCCTTTTAGAATCTTGACCCATGGGCTAATAAACTTAGGTTGGGAAGGCTAATAAGAGGTTATTAAGGAGCCAGATACAGAACAGGTACTCAGTAAGTGTCAGACTGTATTCCTCCTCTCGTCCCCAAGTCCCCAAAGGCTTATGAGGCTGATATTGTTGGTCAAGGCAGCTAAGCAGTGTTCCCTTCCTTGTTATTTTCTGAGAGAAAATATTACACATCCCCTCCAGCGAAGTGCTAAGCCCCTCTAATATCCTGGCCGCCCCCAGCAGCCACGCAGACCTTGTCACTTTCTGGGTCCAGCCTAGTCAGGTGAGGGAGGCGGGCCGTGCGCCTGGAGGTGCTAAACGAAGCATTCTCTGATCTGGTCTGCCTCTCCCTCACCCTATCCTGCTGAGACTCCCATCTCCCACCACCACCCCCTTCCCGAGGCAACAACACATTCGGGCCCCAGAAAGTGAGGCCAGAGCGCTTTGCTCACAAAGCTGAAAAAGTGCTGCTGTGGCTAATTATAGGCACCAGATGAAGGTCTGGAAAAATTTCAACAATAAATTAAAACAATTAAAAGGCACAAATTTCAAAGCTCAATATATAAATAACACTGTATCAAAATGAAACTCAAATGTGAAATGTCAGTTCAATGCCCTTGACTACAGCCAGTTCTAACACAGCTGCTTAGATCATACAATTACAGAAACTTTTATTATTTTAGAAACGTATTTCAAAGAACAGCTGCAAAGAAGCTTGGTCCCCACCCACCCCTGCTGTCCCTTCCCCCTTCCCAATCACAGATCTTCGTCCTTGTGAAATCTGAAGTTATAAACCAAAACAAAAAAAACAATGCAACTGCTAACAGCAGTCCGTCGCTGGGAGCCTTTAACCTGGAATATAGTGACCTAAGGGTCCAGGCAGAAATGAAGAGAACTTATGCTCAGGTCACAAAGTCCTACGTTCTGTTGTTTCAACAAAGTGCCACACACACCTACCTATATGATGTCAGGATGAATCAATACGGAAATTAGTGGGTGAATAATTAAAACTTCCTGGCAATAAATCTTATTACCAGAGAAGCAGGTGTTTCCTGTCTCTGGGCTTTTTCTTTTTCTGTTTTTTTCAAGCTGCCATCCTCAGAATACCCACCAGATGCCAGGCATATTATATACATTCTTTCATCTTCACAATATCCCATAAAGTATTATTGTTATTATTATTACTAGAGGCCTGGTGCATGATCGGGGCAGCGTAGGGACTGCGGGGGGAGGGGACCTCCAGGGCATGTCCGGCCCATCTCGCCCAGTCCCAATCGCTGGACCCCAGCAGCAAGCTAACCTACTGGTCGGAGCATCTGCCCCCTGGTGGTCAGGGCGCATCATAGCAACTGGTCGAACGGCCAAATGAACGTCAGACACTTAGCATATTAGGCTTTTATTATACAGGAGCATTATTCCCACACAGATAAGGAAACTGAGGTTCTGACAAGTGGGCTCACACGCCTATTAAGAGGCTCTCTCAAGCCAGTGACCACAGCTGTTTCACTGGGGTGGGCTGGTTCTCTGGCCCTGCTTCCAGCCCAAAGCCTTAGCTTCACGCTGGTTCTTCCACATCCCCAGAGACCTCAGATCTAGGCTCTGTCCACACTGACTTATCATCCTTCCTTGGGGATAAAACAAATGAACAAACCACAGCCAAGAAGTGAAATGTTTCAAAAGTCTTAATTGCTTAGACACCTCACCAAAGGGATCACCAATGCTTATCATCCTTTAAGTACAATCTGCCTCTACTTCAAACGGTATAAAATTCCCCTTTAACAACAGTTCTTACAAACCACAAACTTAGCCTGCAGAAATTGACATTGCAGACTAAACATTTACCATGATTTTTAGAAAAGCATATCATAATTATCACTTTTTCCACTGAACCAAAAGGAGCCAGAAACCACAAACATTTTTCCATTTTCTCTATACTAACAGGTATGTTATTCACATAAGCATCAAAAAGTTAAAATGATAGGCAATTTTTACAGAATTCTGACAATCAAAAGAAGTCTTAAGGTGACTGTCAATGTCAGCAGAGTAAAAATTCAAACTCAAAATCATCTACATAAAAGTTAAACACCAAAGTAGAATAATAAGTTGCTCCACACATTATTAAATCCAAGTATGAACATATATGTGGACCTGTTTCTCCCACAATGCTCTTAAGTTTGGGTCTGTGTTAAGGAACTAATGCCAGGTTTAATTCAAGTCTACCAGACACTAACTAACACACTCTACTGGGCCAGCTTGTCCCCAGCTATTAGAGTCCTACGTATGATATATACTGACATATGTATATATGTTCAGATCAAATCCTGTTAAAACAAAAACAAATAGTATTTTAACAAAAATATTTCCATGTCCCAGCCAATGGCCCATTCATTTCATGTAATATTCAATACCACAAAATTCCACTTTAACAGAAAATGGACAATACCTTAAAATTCGCTGTAAGGAAAACTAGATCGTGTGCAATTATACTAACCATATACACATAACACATGTTCATCTGTTCTGTCTCTTCTCCAAGACTGCACACTCCTCAAGGAAAGGAGCTGCCTCTGAACTAGACTCTACAAGTCAGGAGAACAACAGTGCCACCTCGTGGATATTCTGTAAACATGTTTGAGAAGTAAATTATAGGGGAAAATAAGACCCAACCAGTAGAAAGCAAACAAAAATAATAATAAACAGATTTGCTTAAGAAAGATGGAGGCATAGCTTCGTTTAGTTGAAAGCACTGATGAGGAATAAGCACAATCACCAACTTTAGAATCACCCTGACTTTTCTTGCTGAGAGCAGCAGCCGGAGTCAGTAGGAAGGCGTGGACGACGGGGGTTCTGAGATCTGGCCCTGCCCATACAGAGACCTGAGTCACATGTCCACTCATCGTACCTAAACACACCTGGAATACTCAAATTCCCTCCGTCTCACACAATCAAAGGCCTACCTTTTTCTTTCTCTCCCATAATTAACAACAAATATTACTGAATTGTGTTGTATTCTATACTTTAGGCAAATTTAAGGAATTTTCCAAAGTAACCTTAGCTATAGCTTATTTCAGCCTTTGCACTAACTTTGGGACCAACCTGTACCATCACCTGCACACTCACCACAATGACCAAGATCAGATGTAAGTAAGATCTTGGGCATTTCACCCATTTCCTCTGATTCTTGGCTTCCTAGTCTACACAAGGAGAAAGGGGACTAAGTGATGGCTAAGATTCCTTTCTGCTATGAAGTACTACAATTCTAGAAAGAGAGGGATCATATTTTGCTTTTTAGGAATACGAATGAGTGAAATGGGACAAACAGTGCTATATTTCTGCATAAAAACAACAGAGTCCCTTTCCCCTTAAACACGCCCATGGTACCAGCTTTGGAAGAGGGATTAGGAATCAGAAGCTGGCCTGCCAATGTGCAGCCCCAGGTGTCAGGTCTGAGGCGTAAGCCCAGGTCTATTTGCTGGGACAATGCCTGGAACATGGAGTCCGGATGCACTCACACCACAGTCAGGCTAAGCGAGGAGCTGCTCCTTGAGGGGCCACCCGGAAGCTCTGACGGGGCAGAAGTGGTGGCAATGGCACTGGTTAACCCTGGCTATTTCTAGGCTTGCCCTGGTATGGCAGTTGTAACTTCCAGACTACAATGACCATGGTAGAGGAAAACGCTCTGGCCAGCATTCTCTTCAGGAATGAAATATTTCTATCTTACCTAGCCAGACATAAATTTAAAAATGAAGATGAAGATGAAGAAGAGAGAAAGAGATGGAGAGAAAAAAATAGAAGTGAATGAATGAGAAATAGAAAATCAAAGGGGGATGAATAGGCAGAGAGCGATTTTCAGAGCAGAGAGACTGTTTTGTATGATACTATAATGGTAGATACATGTCAGTATACATTTATCAAAGCCCACCCGATTAAAACACCAAGAGTAAATCCTAACGTCAAGTATGGACTGTGGGTGACAATGACGTGCTCGTATGGGTCCCTTTTTTTGGAACAAATGTACGACTGTGGTGTGGGATGCTGACAGTGGTGAAGGCTGTGTGTGTGTGTGTTTGTGTGCGCGCACGCGTGGGTAGTGGAGGAAGGTGAAGATACGCGAACTCTCTGTACCTGAAACTAGTCTAAAAAGCAGTCTGTTTCTGGAGGCCCTCAGTAGGCTGGGCTGCAGACGGGACTGGAACCTCCTGCTTCAGCGAGATCGTGTGTCTCCAGTATCACCTCAATGAACAGGAGACCGGTCTATACCCCGAAGGACTCTGATGCTGGGGCACAACAGACCTGCTCGGCCCATCCTGCTCACCCAGATGATAAATACTCTCGACAACGAATCACCATCAAGAAACGTTTCAAGGTGCTGATGACCCAGCAACCGCGCCCCGTACTGTGAAGGTCCCTTAAATTTCATGTCTCTCCTGCCACCTGTGACCCCTGGGACTTTCCGAAACCAAGCTTTTCAGTCTGTGAGCCTTGAAGCCTTCTGACCACCCTGGCTCTTTGGAATCGGTGTCACTACCTTTCATCATGCTTCTGTGAAGGAGTCATGGCAGCACCCCCCTTAAAGGGAACAAGTTTGACTTTTTCATATTTTGACTGCCACGTTATTAAAATGATTTGAAAGAGCTCTTATTTTTTTTAAAAAAAAGTAGTCTATTTCTAAAAAATTCAAAGTAAACTTAACAGGAAGAGCAGGGGTGGGGAGCGTGCACACAAGCAAGCAGGGTGTTGGGTAAGGATGCAGAAATAAGTTTTGAGAAATGTAATGGAGACATGCTATCAGTTTTGACATTCCCGAAGTGTTACTTTATTCATTTATTTTTAATACTCACCCGAGGACATGCTTTTATTGATTTTAGAAGGAGAGAGAAGCATCAATATGAGACTGTCGCACATCTGGGATCGAACCTGCAGCCTGAGTATGTGAGTATGTGCCCTGACCGGGAATGGAATCCAAGACCTTTCCGCGTCCTAGGCAATGTTCCAACCAACTGAGCCACGCTGGCCAGGGCCCTCAGTGTCACTTTAGATGCCAGTGAACATCCTAAACTTCCCAAACACAGAGTATGGGACAAACTGTTCCTTTAAGAAAAAATCCTTATAAAGACAGAATGCAGATTATATCTAGACTACATCAAAATACATATCACAGCATTAATCATTAAACAAGTTCAAGGAAACATACTGTTGACCATGATCCACACCACTCATCACAGACACTGCCTTCATTTCCTAGAGATGCTAGATCTGAACTGGCCTTCAAATGCCACAGAGGAAAACCCAGTGGGCCCAGCAGTGCTGCCTCGCACTGTCCTCCCTCTTCCATCCTCTCGTCCCACAGACGCCTCGCAGAGCTGCCCAGGCCCTGGGCCGGCGTCCCTCCACTGGGAAGACAGGCTGTTACCTGGTAAGGCGGTAATGAAGTCCCGCTGCAACATGGGCTTCAGGTAGGAGTTAATGTGTCCATGCTGGTAATGACACATCCGGGAAATCAGGTGCTCCACAAATTCCACTTGATCCGATTCCGACCACTGGTCAAAATATTTAATACACAAGTCTTTTTCTTTTTGATAGTTTCCTTCTGATGGCCTCTTTCTGGAGACGATCACAGACGATGTTCCATTACTTATCTATTTTAGAAATACACACACAAACATAATTAGTTTGACAAGGAAAAGAAATCTAATTGGTATTTCATTAGAAACATTTTTACTCTGTGTATTTAATCTTAAAATGCCAGTTTTACCCTAAAGCCACTCAATCCTTTATTAATTCACTCAGAAAATAATTAAAACTGTATTCAGAGCCCGTATCCTCTAATGAGTCTCAAAGGTAAATGCCAAAGTTACAGCTACTGCTAAAGCTTAATGGTGTCTTAAATCATCATTCTCTAATGCTTATTCCCAAACCATGCTGTTATCAGATAACTAATGTTAGAGATGACCATTTTAGGAAAACAGCTCCACTTGGCAAAGTGGCAACTGATTGACTATTAATAGTTTTACTCCCTCAAAGCTGAAAGTTAATGCTTGATTGGTCTATGCCAGTGATGGCGAACCTTCTGAGCTCGGCGTCGCAGCATTTTGAAAAACCCTAACTTAACTCTGGCGCCGTGTCACACATAGAAATTTTTTGATATTTGCAACCATAGTAAAACAAAGATTTATATTTTTGCTATTTATCTTATATATTTAAAAGCCATTTAATAAAGAAAAATCAACCAAAAAAATGAGTTCGCGTGTCACTTCTGACACGCGTGTCATAGGTTCGCCATCACTGGTCTATGCCAAAGGTTCCCGCACTTGGGCGTTCATCAGAATGACAAAGGGCTTGTTAGCACGCAGACTGGCAGCCCCACCAGAGACGTTCTGACTCCTGGGTCCGGAGTGGAGCCCAACATCTGCATTGCCAACAAGCTCCCAGAGATGCTGACACCGAGGACCACTCTCTGAAAACCGCTGGCCTATCAAAGGAGAAACATGAAACAATGGCATCTAAAAAGCTTCGTTTTATTTATTTTGTCTTAATTTTTATTGCTCAAAGTATTACATATGTCCCCATTTCCCCCCTCCAGCCCGCCCCACCCCCCACCCCGGCCTGCACTACCCTATTGTCTGTGTCCATGGGTTATGCATATGTGCAAACAAGGTTAAAAAGCTTTGTTCTACCAAACAGTTTGGATCTCCATATTGTTGCCAGGCCTAAAAACTGCTGGCAAAACTTTAGACTTTCACTCCCTTCTTTTGTTCACCTTCTCAGAAGGTTCTTTCCCTTATATAGTAGGCTTATGGATATCCCATACTCCTATACTAACTGCACTTCTCATCAAATCTACACAGTCCTAGTATAAAACCAGTATTTTTTTAAATATATTTTTATTGATTTCAGAAAGGAAGGGAGAGGAAGAAAGAGATAGAAACATCAATGATGGCTGTCTCCTGCATGCCCCCTACTAGGGATGGAGCCCGGGCATGAACCCTTGACGGGAATTGAACCCAGGACCCTTCAGTCCGCAGGCCAACACTGTGTCCACTGAGCCAAACCGGCTACGGTGAAAAACGAGTGTGTTTTCTAAAAATTGAAAGTAAATGCAATGCACCTGGACAATAACATAGAAACATCTAAATCCCTAGACTGAAGCCACAACTGCTACTGATCTGTGAGGCTCAGTAACTGCCCTGTTTAAAAACAAAGTAACCTCGCCGAAGCCGGTTTGGCTCAGTGGATAGAGCGTCGGCCTGCGGACTGAAAGGTCCCAGGTTCGATTCCGGCCAAGGGCGTGTGCCTGGGTTGCGGGCACATCCCCGGTGGGAGATGTGCAGGAGGCAGCTGATCGATGTTTCTCTCTCATCGATGTTTCTAACCCTCTATCTCTCTCCCTTCCTCTCTGTAAAAAATCAATAAAATATATTTTAAAAAAAAACACAAAAAAACAAAGTAACCTCAATGCTTCTGACAAACACTGGCCAAGCTATCTGCCCATCACTCCTCTGATGGCCGCCTTCATGGGCAATACCAGAAGGATTAACATAAGAGAACCTTGAAAACTGCAGAGCTGCATTACAAACAACCATCATGCCATTAGGAGCTTCCCCTCGGAAGTCTTTCATAGAAAGAAGCAAGAGCTTTTGTTACAATTTGTGCCCTAAAAGAAAGCCAACTGAACCCATTCCAGAAAGACATCCTTTGTAAATTTCCAAAGGAGTCTCTGGCCTTCCGTGATAAAATCTTAGAAACCTTCCCTGTAATAAGGAAGTTCCTATGTCCACATTCAGAGGTATGAAGTCAGAAGGCATTTATCTCCCCTCTCATTTATCTTAACCACCTCCTCTCTGAGAACGTTTTCCCTTTGTAAACTGGGTGAGGGACAGCTCACTGACTCTGGGCACCACCAGAGGGCAGCCTTACACAGAACTTTTTGATGCTGCTTTTAGTAAGACATTCAGAACAAAAATTAACACTCAAAAAAGATCAAATGAAGTGAAAATTCTTCTCTGTGGTCAATATTGACTGATATAAGGAGCATCTTTGATACTTTTAAGCATAAGGATGTTCACCATAATGTTTATAATCCAGAAAAATTAGAACTGCCCAATCACAGGCAACAGGTTTAAGCAAATTATAATACATTTACATCAAGTGCTATAAGGTAGCCGTTAAAATTAGTTTATAATATAAGATTTTAATAACAAGAGAACACTTTTATAAATAATATTAAGGAACAAAAGATGAGATGCAGAATTTTATATAGCATAATCACAATAATTTACGTGAACACACCAAGGGAAAAGTTAAGAGTATTTATGAATATGTTAAAAGTGCCTAATCTTGAGAAAGAAAACGATATATGTTTTCCTTCCCCTCCTTTACTATGCTTTTTCATAATAACTTGCCAAATAATTGCTTTCCCAGCAGGTTAAATATAAGGATGGTAATGAAATGCATTTATGTACTGCTTTATACTTTACAAAATACTTTCATAACCGTTATCTCATTTGATAAGCAAACGGGTTATTATATCATTTACAGAAAGGCTCCCCACCATCTACCCTCCCTGGCATTGGTATACCATTAACTAGTTGACTTAAAGACAGATAAACGAACAACTGAAAGCCAGTATTAACACCGAATTGCAAAATCAATAAGGGAAGATAATCCTATTGCAGACACAGGTGTGGAGGAGGAAACAAGGCAGTCTGCACACAGTTCCCCAAACCAGTGGCAAGACTCCGAACCACCTGCGGGGCCCAGAAAAGCTTCCTGGCCTCGTTTTATTTTGTTTCGTTTCATCGTAAATGTGTTGGGGAAACTTCACTCTCCTAACTAATCTACCCTTTTGTTTCAGATCAAATGGAGCTAGAGAATTTTGGAAACATTACTCTCTTCAGATTTAGATCTGTGTGCCTTTGTGCCCTCATGAAGGGAAAAATGATTTGTACCATCATGACCAATGGAATCCTCAAACATGAAACTTTACATGCCCCATTCCCTTTACCTCACCACAAAAAACTACGGGATTGGGAGGAAAACTGGCAAACTGAGATAGAGCCCGGAGAGAAGGAAACTGAGTTTAGAAGGAAAGGGCAAACCAATAGGAAATGACGAAGAAGGATAGGACGAGGGAGAAACAGGCCTCAGTGCATATAAACTGGTGTGTGGTAGGTGCCGTGCTGGTGACAAACCACCACCACTGTCCATCTCTGACTTAGTGGACACAGAACATTTTAGGCCACAGTCACTTCAGCATCTTTGTGAAAATTCCAAAATCTTTGCTATTCATAATGACACTTCCCGAAGGATCAGAAGATAAATTGGGGTGAACTCTGAAACTAGTAAAATTACATGCAAAAAACACAGAACTGCTTGGCTCTTGTTGTCATAAGGGCATGAGCTGAGGGGCATCTTGTCTAGAGTGAGTCAACTGCTCTCTGATCTGTGCGCAGTCATTCCTACCTGCCAAAGAGTATTTTTCTTGGGGGACTCATCTTCATTTTGATCCTCCATAACTGAAGTGTTCTAAGGGGGAAAAACAGAGCATTTGAATTATGCCAAGTTTTGCAAATCCTAAATAACCAAAATGTAATTTTGAAAACCCAAACTAGAGTGGACCAACAAACCCAAGGGCTAGTGTGGCTTGTGGCTAATGTACTATTTTGGGCCAAGGGGGCTGTGCTCATCTTTCATAAATCAATGCAGAAAAGTAAGCATAAAGTCTGACTTGATGAAGGTGGGCCAACTGGGAACAGGCTGACGTATGGCAGTGGCTGAAGCTCCACCTCCGTCATCACTGTTACTCTCTTACTGGTGGCTAGAAGCCCCAGAGACCCACTAAGTTCCTGATGGTTGCACAAAACATTTACTAGAATGTCTGCTACTCGCTAACCCATCCCAACATGAGCAATTAGAACTGACAAAGCCTGGAGGTGCTCCCCCGGCCCCAGCCTTCCTCTTTCCTCCCCTGATGGCCTTGTTTTTCTGCAATGGCTTTGCAATCTCCCCCAGCAAGCATGGTGGGGGCCCCAGCCTTTTCCCTGAAGGGAGGATGCAGCGAGCCAGTAACAATCTGGCTTGCCTTAGGAATGCATTAGCTTTTGGTTTTGTGTTTGCTGCACAAAGAGGCACTGTGTAATTATTCTTTCTGGTGACCTAGTCGCTCAATAGATGCCCATTAACTGGAGATTATACATGATTGGATTTTCCCTTTTGAAGCTCCTATCTAATAGCTAAATGGAAACTTAATGAGACGGGGAAATGGGAGAGTTGTGCTCAGAAAGGAGTAACAACTCATTTATAGGGTGCAACCTATAAATTAGAAGATTGGGGTATAACATTTAAACGACAATATCTGTACCATAGTATTATTCCAAAGGATCCTATAGATCTAAGTTATCAATATTTACAAGATCCTATTTACTATTGCCTTGAGGGGAGGAGCCTAAGATTTTCCCTTTATGTTCAAGTTGTAAAATGTTTGGACCCAGACAGTATTTCCAAACATGCCCGATGCGGGGTCAGCACTGAAAAGTGGCGCTCTGCTCCGCAGGTCACACAGCTGGTTCTGAGCAGGAGCGGAGTTCGAGATCATGGGAAGGCCAAAGGCTTTGAAAACCAGAGAGAAGGTAGATCTGCTCACTCACTCCGTGTGTGTGTGTGTGTGTGTGTGAGAGAGAGAGAGAGAGAGAGAGAGAGAGAGAGAGAGAGAGAGAGAGGATGAGAGAGGAGAGAGAGAGAAAGGGGATCCTGAGCAAATTGTGTCAGCCACGGACAAACACCACAGAGTTGTGGGGGCTGAGGCTACCCAGCACAGAGCTGGTATGTTGAACAGGTATTAAATCTGGTCATGCCCTGCTCTGAAGATGCTACTTCCCCCAAGTGGTACCTAATGCTTTTCTAGCCTCATACTTTGACAGAATGGCTCCCTCCAGACGGCTGTCAATAGAGAAAACCCACTATTTCCTCAATAAGTACTTACTAGTATAAGCCCAAAGCACCAAGGTCTGCGGTGGGGAAGGGGGCAGGAGGGCAGGGCTCCATATGTGAAACCAACCATGAGCTAGTGAGGAAGACAGTGTGTCCAAGTGTCCAAAACGGGTCTAGAGTGGTGGCAGCAAGAAGTGATCCTGAATGAGAAGGAGGTGGAGAATAGGGTAACCGATGTAGTATTTCTCTCTCCATGTAATTTTCCTTTTACTGCTAGCTTGAAGGATCCAGAGATTAATGAAGCTGGCAGGTTTCATTATGGAAATGAATAAAGAGGGACAGTGACTCAGTACATCAGCTCCTCAGTCTGACTGGTAGTTACAATGCCATCCTTGCAATGTCACAATGTCCTGGGTTCTAAGAGAGTGGCCTGAAGAAAGAATGGCTAGACAGGAAGAGTTGAGCATGTGAAGTGGAAGAAGTGTGAGAAGGTCCCGCCCCCATGACGCCAGGCACCCCAAGAAATGTAGAAGATATATGTATACATGTATAATGTTTTCCACTAAAAACTTCTGAAATAGGAGCCTGAATAAGCCAGAGCAATTCTGACCTAAGCCACCTTAGTAATTTCCTCAGGGAGAAAACAAAAAAGTCAGAAGACCCTAGAAACAACTGTTTTTGCCATGAGAAAACACAAGAAACAACTGTTTTTGTCGTGAGAAAACACAAGAAACAACTGTTTTTGTCGTGAGAAAATTTAGTTCTTCCTCTCATCCATTCCAAAACAGATTAATGGTTTGTATTTATATAGTGGAGAAGGGAACAACCCCTCTGATAAAAACTGCAACTATTTTGTAAGACTTGATAAAAGTGGATAAATGTATACAATTTTTTTAAAAAATCCTCACCCAAGGATATTTTTTCCATTGATTTCTAGAGAGAGGGGGAGGGAGGAAGGAAGGGGGTAGAGAGAGAGAAACATCCATGTGAGAGACATCGATTGGTTGCCTCCTGCATGTGCCCTGACCAGGGCTGGAGAACCTGCAACCAAGGTATGCGTCCTTGACCAGTACTCGAGCCTAAGACCCTTCGTTACGGAGGCAAACACTCTAACCACTGAGCCAAACCAGCCAGGGCTAAAGATATACAATGCAACAGAACTGTATTTAATAAAGCCCGTGGGGCTGGAAGAGTTCCTTCATCATAGAGATCTTCTCAACTTCTCTCACAGAGCCTTCAGGAGAAGATGCCACAGGGAAATGCTGCGCTCAAGCGACACTGGTCAGAGCATCATCTCCAGAGAACACGTAACACAGAGATGCTCAGAGAAAAATGGGTCTAATTACATTTAAGAAATGCCAGGTACTTATGTGCACGCCCCTCTCCCATGCCCCCCAGTACACTTCACTAGGATGCTAAAGGTTCTGGAAGCCTCAACGTTTAAAAATCAGCTCAAGTTAGTTGAACCTAGCTTTCCTGAGTTGTTGGCTATGGGCCCCCCTTTTATAATAATCTCTCCTAATAACAGCTCAGCATATATTAGCCAACACTGGACTGGGGCAATAGCAGGGCAGAATTCCTCCCTCCTCCCACTTCACAGGACAAATGCTTCTGGAAAACAAAAGAAAAGCCCGCTTTTGGTAAATAAAATATATACCTTTTCTATCCCCATCATCTTTCCCAAGTTGCTATATGAGGTTGTGGGACTAAGGAGAAGTGGCAAAAATAAAAAAGTCCCTTAGAGAAGCCACACTTTTTAAAATCACTTTGGCATTTACTCCTGACAGATATAACTGACAAAAGGTCACGGGTCAGGACTGAGGTAAGAGAAAACAATAAGCTTTCCACGCAAAGAAGCAGGTGGTTTCCTACATCCACCTTCTCACATGGAGCCACGAGCCAGGCCGGTCTGAGCGCTGACGTCCTCTTTAAGCCTCCAGCACTTCTGGGAAAGGAACGTTCTCTGAAAAACCAACCTGGCGTCTGCACTTCCTACCCCTCTCATCATCATCTCCTTCCTCCTCCATCTCTACCAAGAAGCATCACGTGTGAATAAGCATGCAGACCTCCTTACTCGGACCCTCCTGCTGATGAGAGGCACCGTCCAGGAGGGAGCAGCTAGGCTCCAAGGCAGATCACCCTCAGTACCGCCGACACTGGCCCCAGGTCATTCTCTGTTGTGTGGGGGCGCTCACATGCACCACAGGATGTTTAGCAGCATCCCTGGCTTCTACCTACAAGAAGCTACCCACCAGCCCCCCCCCTAATGGTGACAACCAAAAATGTCTCCAGTTGGCAAATGTCGGGGGGAGGGGTGGGGGGGAACCTCGCCCCTTCCCTTGAGAGCCACTGCTCTCAGGTTATCAGCTCCTTAACTTGCCTCCTTGGGAAGACACACTAAATCGCCACCATCTCAGGACTGGCCGTTCTTCCTCTCCAGGCTTCTCTGGCCTGTGACAGTCTGTAATTTCTTCAAATACAGTCTGATCTCACCATGGCCAAGCAACGCATGGAGTGCACAGATATCTAAATCCTGGGCTAAAGTCCTGCGTACCATTATATTCATATTTGGGGAAATTTAATTCAGGAGTTCTTACTAGAGATCCGTGGGCTTGGGGTGTGGGTGAGGGCTATAAATATCATCAAGTCACGAACAAGCACGCCTCCAGAAAGACAATCCAGAGCTTTCATCAGATTCTCAAAGGTCTCCCAAATGCGATGAGATAGCAAAGCATGTCTGTGACCAAACAGCAGACCTGAATGGACAGAGCGAGGCATGTCTGCTGCTCCTTGTAAGTTCCCCAGGAAATCCATGCACTATAATATCTACCCTGAAATCACTACGATGGCCAGACGCTGTGGTCCATGTAGTGGCACCATCCTAAGTAAGGAATCTGCACCGGGACCATAACGACAGACGCCAGCCCATGCACGATACTTAACTACCAAATGCCACGAGAACTAATGCCTGCTCCGTCTCTTGCCGAGCCTTCAGGAGGAGACGCCCATGGGAAACGCTGCTCTCTAGCTACACTGCTCAGAGGATCGTTTCCAAAGGGATTCCAGGTGACACAGAAATGTTCCGAGGAAAAGGGGTCCCAGGGTCGCATTAAGTTTGACAAATGCTGTGTGCTGGGTGAGTGCGCTCCCCGCCCCTGACCAAACCCCATTCCCACCCCATTCGTAATCTACTTCCCTAAGACAGCAAAGGCTCTGTCACATCTCATAATTACAGTCAGGTTACGTTGGCTGAGCCTCGCTTTCCCAAGTTTGTTGGATATGGACAACCCCTTCTTGTAACATCTCTTAATTAACAGCTCGGCACATATTGGCAAACACTGGACTAGGGCAACAGCATGGTAGAATTCCTTCCTCCTCCCACTTCACAGACAAATAAATACTCTGGGAGACAAAGGAAACGCCCGCGTTTGGTAAATACCAGATATATCTTTCCTACTCCCCATCCTCTTCCCGGCTGCTATGTGGGTTAGTGTGCGTGTAGGCAGAACAGCTCTGAGCAGTGATCTATTTCTGCCAGTAGTGCCACCAACTAACACAGAATACATCTCATTTAGAAAATTATGTACTTGAAGAGC